TGGCAATCATGTCAAATCTTCTTAACTTTATATCCCATGATATTTTATATTTAAGTAGTATTCTACAATTGTAATAGTTCAAATCATACTTTAAACGAATCCCAAGAGTTGAATAGGGTATAAAAATATGGCCATCCCTCCTTATTCCTACTCCTTACAAAGTACGTTTGCTTGCACCTTGTATCCGCCAGTTTAAAACGCATGAAAGAGGTGCGCCCGTTTAGAAATTGCAGTAAATATATAAACACGTTTTCGTCCGGTTAGATTGAGGACGTTAATTTAATTAATATTACTCTTGTAGGAAGAGTGCTAAGCTATATGCAAGTTAAGGAACACTTGCAACAACTCATTGAGGGGTCCATATGTGACCTGTTGCAAGGCAAATTGTTTCCCTCATCTAACGAACCATTTTGTCAATACCAGTGTCAATTTCCCACTCTAAATACCTGTTCATACACTGTGCAGAGCCTACCTATTATATTATTTGTTAAATTGACGAATTTTCTCGTTCTGAATATACACGAAATGTTTTAATCAATATTGGGACATTGCTAAAAAAAAGAAGACTCATTACAAGCGATCCTCATTGCATGTTCATCGACTGGCAAACAAATAAGCATGTGTGGTACGTGTACATAGTGTCCATTGAACCTCTATGAAAAATCACATTTATATCATCTTTGCCGAAATTCAATTTTAAGTTGGCAGGATTAACTTTAGTTTGTATTTTTTACTGAATACTTTCAGGAAGTAGTGTAACATACAGTCATTTTGCAAAAGGACAAGGAAATAACCACAACACAGGATTTTTATTTGCTGGTGGTTCAAACGAAGACTGCGCTCTGATTAGACGTAGTGATGGTGGCCTGTGGCATGATTATCCATGTCACTCAATCGTAGGAAATATAGGATATCATTACAGTTATGCTTGTGAATTCCGTAAGATATACATGTATGGTATGCTTTCAATTCAAATTCCTTAGTACTACACTTACAAAACCTTCTCATATTCATATACTAGTACTAATTTTGGTAAACGTTAACGTGGCTAATAGTAATGAGATTATCAAACATGTTTCTGTTGACTCCTAGCTACAATGTTTCTTTAAACCGTTGTCATGTCCTATCCTAGCGCCCCAACTCCATAGATCAGCAGGTATTTCGAACATCTATATAGACCAATAAGATAAAACTTACTGACAATCGCCATGTCAATCGTCAGAAGCCCAAGCCAATAGTGACACTTATATTAAATATTCAAATAATTTAATATTTATAAGGGGCCGGACACCTAGTTATCTGTTCGACCCTCTACATTTTTAAAAGACTATTTATGTTTATTAATTTTACAAATTTAATATTAAAATATTTAAATATTAAATATTACTATATATGTATTGAATTTATTTTCACAATTTCCAATAAGTTACTCTACAGATAAAAAAAAAATAAACAGTAATCTGGGACAAAAAAAAAGAATACATAAATGAAAGACTGAGGCAACTTAGTAGGGATACATAATTCATAGACTTGTAATAATTGAATATAGTCGAGACCAACCAGAAAATCAATAATAGTATTATCTTTGAAATGCATAGAAAATGAGCTACCAGGGGCGGATACAGCAATTCTTAAAGGGGTTCCAACCTAGAAAAAAGGAGGGGGTTCCAACCATATGTCCCAATTCAAAAGCATAAGACCTGGAATTCCCCACCCCCTCCCCCGGATTCGCCACTGCCCATGGATGATATCACATTCCAAAATCTTTCTGCAAAGAGACATCTTGAACCAGGAAGGTTGTATTTTCTGCCCAAATTACACAAACTAGATCATGAATAGAAAAAGCTCAACAGAATCAAACGATGTATACAAAAGACCGATTTCAAGTGGAAACTATTATTCGGAACTGTTTAAGAGAGAAAAGGGAAGCATTTAGATAAAGACATGCTTCCAGTAGTATTAAAACAATAAACAAATTTAAGGGACTCTTTATAATTTATCAAATTAAATCTTGAGAAATTGCAGATAAATATGACACCTTCTTAGCCAGTTATGACATAAAAGAATTGTAAAACAATATGTCCAATGCAGAAATGATCGATGCAGTAAAACATGCTTGACCGACAATAATTAAATGTAATATTGACCCCCCTTTCCCCTTTTGAGATATACATTGGATCTTCTTAAGATAGTACTCGACAATAACGAATTTATATTTAATAATAAATATTACAAAACTACAGCTGGAGTTCCAAAGGGAAATAGCTCATCACCTGAGCTTACCAATCTGACAGTTTATGAAGTCTTTAAAAGCATTTTAGGAACTTTCAAACACAGATTAAAAAAATATCAAGCCTTTATAAGTTTAGAGACGATGGATTTTTTTGATTAACAATGAAGGTACAGATGATGAAATAACAGAATGTTTTTAGTATGCGAACGAGCATCATGCTTTACTAAAACTTATAAACGATTAATCGCAAACTAAATTGCAGATTTAAGATGTATCGGTATTCAATGGTCCAAGAATTAGAGAAACAGGCTTCTTAGATCTCACCACATTCCACAAAGGGACCTTACCACATTCCACAAAGAAACTGAAAAGTATCAGTAACTATAGATAGGTTCTTATTCCATCCATCCTCTACTGACAAAGGCAAAATTAGAGGAGAAATGCTTCGCTTTAAGAGATGCACAAGAAATCCAGAAGCTTTTCATACACAATATGAGTTTTTTTCTGAAGACCTTAATAAAAAGGGATATAAAGAAAATGAAATTAAACTGTTGTACAGGATGTTACAGACAGCAAACCAAACAAGTGACACATTGATTGTAAACCCAATTTTGTTTTGTTATAGTCGCATCCCTTGGTATTCTCCACAATGTTTTCAAGACATATACCACATTTCAAGAAAAAGATTTCAAAACACGATGAATTAAAAAATGATGAAGAGGCAAAACCTTTATTTTATTAAAGACCTCTATTCGCTTTTCGCCGGCAAAAGAACTTGAAGTACAAAGTTACTTCCGCAACTCTCAATACACACACATATGCATATATATATATTTTTATTAACAATGAAAGTACAGATGATGAAATAACAGAATGTTTTTAGTATGCGAACAAGCATCATGCTTTACTTAAACTTAAAAAACGATAAATCGCAAACTAAATTGCAGATTTAAGATGTATCGGTATTCAATGGTCCAAGAATCAGAGAAACAGGCTTCTTAGAACTCACCACATTCCAGAAAGGGACCTTACCACATTCCACAAAGAAACTGAAAAGTATCATTAACTATAGATAGGTTCTTATTCCATCCATCCTCTACTGACAAAGGCAAAATTAGAGAAGAAATGCTTCGCTTTAAGAGATGCACAAGAAATCCAGAAGCTTTTCATACACAATATGAGTTTTTTTCTGAAGGCCTTACTATCGTTTGTTTTATTATATATATATAATAAAAACTATAACACAAGTTTCCATACGTTTCGGCCATTACGGCCTTCTTCATTGAAATAAATTACAAAATTGAAACAACAATTGCATCGCTTGGATACATTATGTTACAATAAAAGCAATAGTAGTATACTGCTGTTCAATAGTCATAAATCAATTTAACTGAAACAAATCCGGGTCACAAACCAAAACTGAGGGAAACACATCAACTATAAGAAGAAACAAAAAACAAAAGAAACACTGAACTGCTACAAGAACAAGCGCCAACATACATAAAAAACGGACTATGTGATAACAATTGCCATATTCCTGACTTGGTACAGGACATTTTAAGAAAAATGGTGGGTTGAACCTGGTTTTATGGCTAGCCAAACCACCCGCTTATATAGCAATATTAAAAATACCGCTAAAATGACAACATTACGTGACAGGAATAAAGTACAAATAAAAAAAGAACATTCCGGACAGAGAAATACATAAATAAATTATATAATAGTCCATTTCAACATGTAAACCACAGAATAACAACGAACACCTAAAATTGATTTACGACAGAACACAAATACAGCACAATAGAATAATGAACTGTGCGTCACACGAATGTATCAACGCCACAAAAAGTGACGTCACAGGTAAATTTCATTAATTTAACATCGACTGGACTATAAAACTTACTCGACTTGACCGAGTATTCGAATCAACCGAGTTCGACTCATCAGAGGTAATTATGCATTGATCAAACGGGAATTTTACCGGGACCGAGAAATTACTTCGACTCATCCGAGTTTTCGACACAACCGAGTTCGACACAACGAGGTTCGACTGTATATCCCATTTGAAATGATATTTAAGGGCTTGTATTTCCTATCGTGATTTTGTTGATAAAAAGTTTCCTACTCACAAGGAAGCTATTAAACTAAGAGTTCCATGTCGTCATGTGGAAATTTTGCTACGTAAATTAAACGGACGCTATCACGGGTTGGTTGACCGTTATGAAATATTCGTTTCACAGATGATAGCGTATTTGTTTCTTTTGCCGTAACTAAAATTCCGTCCACTTTACACGAATGAGATCTACCGAATTAGACTTATTACGGCGTTTTACTACCATGAGCAACACAACGACTGCCACATGTGGAGCAGAATCTGCCTACTCTTCCGGATCACCTTAAATTACAACCAGTTTTTGAAAGTTTATTTGAGTTTTCTATGTTGTGTTTTGTGTACCATGGTTTTTGGGGTAAACATTGAAAATGTTATACAAGACTATCCATTTTGTTTTTATAAATTCATATTTATAATACAAAAATATAGTTATTGAAGATTCTACTCACACTCACACTTTCTCTCACTACTAACACACAGTCACTGCAATCTTACCATTAGTATGCATGCATGTCTATATAAAATGTAAAACTGCTTACTACAGTATAATTTAAAGTATAAATAATAATAAATCACGAAAAAATTGTATGTAGTGTGCACCAGAATCTTTCATACGCATCTGCTCTATAATTTTTGTTTGCAATATAAAATTCATTAGATTGGTATTGTTTTATTCTGGGTTTAAAGCCTATTACAATAGGAGCTATATTTCTTAACTTACATCTGAAGATGTAGTTTTAAGCTATAAAAATGAACAAATTTATAAACAAACTCTAAGTAATAAATCCCAACAAAATTTCTTTCTTACTGATGCTGAATTGCTCATCAAATAATTTGATTTTCTGTAAAAATGACAACTAAAAATTGTAGGTAACATTACAATCATAAAATAAATGTTATATTATTTCCTCCTCCTCATTACAGAAGGTACATAGACTTGTTTCCTTTTTCTTGATTCTATATAAAAATTATTGGTAGGTATAATTCTATGGAATACTTTACATTGAAAATTCTTTAAATATGTATCCCTAGAACATCTTTTCAAAAGAGAAAAATACTAAGACCATTCTGAGATTTCAGAATTTGTTACTTTCTCCAATTTGAAAAATTTCTCATATGGGAGTATGCATATTTTATCTACAAGATCTCTGTATACAAATTTCAAGTTCTTATTTTCCAAGATCTTTTCAGAAAATGAATCAAAAGGAACAAAATCTTTGAAGTTCAAATCACAATTATTATAATCTTTGATGTTTTTTTTTTATATATTTTCGAATGTAAGATTATAAACTATATTCTCGCTATTTTACGAAATTTTCCTTTGATCTTACTGACTGATAATTTCCTTTCTCAGCGGAGTCAAGTGTTACGAACATTATCGCTAGAAACTAAGAGAGCACGTGTCAATGAAATTAACAACGTCTTCATAGGTAAAATAGCGATAAACAGATTATCATTGGTCATCTCAACTCGAATGCTTTTCTCCGGCTCAAGCGAGTAAATTATCAATCTCGTTGAGACAACCAACGATAATCTATAAGTATTTCAAAAAAATTCCAAAATAAATTTTTTTCTTACTTGCTGAAATGTTAACAATGATTTACTTTGACTATCTACAATGTCCTTTATAAATTGTATACCATATAACTTCCATTTCAAATAAACAGGGTATTCAGATACTGGTATAAAGTTTAAAATAGCCAATGGTAAAATTTCTGGAACACAACTTTTGTATAAAGCTTTGCAATGTGTAGACAAACAAATATGTCTTTCCATAATAGATTTTTTAAGCAATTAGAAATTTCTTTAATCTTATCTTTTTGTAATGTAAAGACTCTGTCACCACCTATCTGTTTTAGTTCTGCTAGTAATAAATTCTGCCAAGTACCATCTGAATTTGATATAAATCTCTTTACCCAAGATAATTTAAGATATGTACAGAAAGACTGCAAATGCACCATATGTAATCCTCCCTGTGAAAAATCTGCAATAAGAGTACTACACTTGACTCTCATTGTTTCATATCTTTCTTCAAATATGTTGGGGAAAAGTTTCAAAAACTCAAATTTTGTTGAATTCTAATCTCTTTCCAAATGCATGTACTTCATTCTTCTGACAACTATGCACCTCCCAACATTTATGATTCATACATTAAGGTCTATTTTATATCGTTTACTCATATTTTGATAAACATTGTTAATCGTTACATCTATGCACTAAAACGTAATCTTTTTTTATTTCTTCGTTGATATTTCGTAATTTGAGTTTTAAAAAAATGTAATTTAAGTTACAAAGGGCATCGGACTTTTGCATTTTGTAGCTATTTAAACTCAGGACAATTTAACCCTATATCATGTAATGGTTGAAAACAGTAGTTTCAAGATAATAACAGTCTTACATTGTATCAAAAGTGCTATTCGAGTTTAATTTACATTTCGGACTGATACATTTATGAAGTACATTTGTAATGATTTGATTGAATTTCTCTGTGGGAAAAGGTATAGGGTTTTTTTCCTTATCGTATGTTTTGTTATTCTGCTTTTAGTGTGCGCTTCAATGTGTTGAAATCATAAGACACTGCATTAATTTGATAAACTAATCAGTTGAAAATGAGTTTTAAATCATAAAGATATCTCATACAAAAAAAACGTTCATATAGTTTATAAAGGGTCATTGCTTATACTATATGATTGACATTCATCACAGAAAAGACAAATCCCCATGAAGATTTTTAAATAATTATTCATAAAACACGATTGGCTTAATTTAAGAACGAAACATGAATTTGAAGATGACAAATGATAACGAAGTATTTCTACGAGCTGCGTATTTTTCTATCATTTAACGAAAATAAAATTCTCATGAATAAAAAAATAAACATCCTAAGACTGCCATTGAGACAACTATCCACCATGATTCAAACGAAGTGAATTTATAGGCAACATTGCGACATTCAACAGTGAGAAAAACATATACCGTAATGTCGGCGTTAAAAGGTTTGACATGAAAAATATGAAATAATTCAAACAAGAAAACAGAAAATTGTGGATAGTGTCGATTATAAACAAAATCTTTCACGTGCTTTATATAAATTAAGGAAATATAATATCCTTTTATAAAAGGGCAAAACCGTATCTGATGTCTTTTTTTTTCTTGTTTTGTCACAGAGGGTATTACAAGCCAAGTATTCGGCACTTTGTGTTTACATTAATGATTGCTCATAAATTCATTTGATGTAAATTTACTTTCAAAATGTTGATTCTGCACACCAAGGTGTTTCTGTTTCAAGATATAAAATGTCTAGATGAACTATGCACAACTTTTCGGGATTTTTTGGTTTGTGATGCATTTCAACCTCGTATTTGTTTGGCCCTTCAACTGTTTTTTTTTTCGAGTTCCACTGGTAGGTCTAATGTAGACGACTATTGAAGTTATATTTTAATATAGCGGATGTGGTCGTGTGGTCTAGAGCGCTGGACATGAGGCTAAGCGATTGGTGCTGTAGTGTATCAAAGGTGTGAGTTCGAATCCCGTTGAGGGATAAAAATTTGTCAGCATAAAAGTCTAATTCTAACACTGTTGGGTGTAATTTTCAGACTTATATAAATATTTGTATTAACCCCGCGTCTCAAACACACTGCGATCCAGTGGGCATATATATTGTATGGTTGTCACTTGCTTAGACTTTTTTGTATGATATACCTATTTCTAGTAACTGTATAATGAATTGAATCATTATCCCATACGGTATATAAAAATTGTTGAGTTAGATTGCTGACAAATAACAAATACATTGTGTATTAAATAATGATATAACATCTTCACACGCTTAAAACACATGTCTTATGTCTATCTCTAGATTCGCCTTACGTGACAAGGTAACACTACGACTATTGAAGTTATATTTTAATATAGCGGATGTGGTCGTGTGGTCTAGAGCTCTGGACATGAGGCTAAGCGATTGGTGCTGTAGTGTATCAAAGATGTGAGTTTGAATCCCTTTGAGGGACAAAAATTTGTCAGCATAAAAGTCTAATTCTAACACTGTTGGGTGTAATTTTCAGACTTATATAAATATTTGTATTAACCCCGCATCTCAAACACACTGAGATTCAGTGGGCATATATATTGTATGATTGTCACTTGCTTAGACTTGTTTGTATGATATACCTATTTCTAGTGACTGTATAATGAATTGAATCATTATCCCACACGGTATATAAAAATTGTTGAGTTAGATTGCTGACAAATAACAAATACATTGTGTATTAAATAATAATATAACATCTTCACACGCTTAAAACACATGTCTTATGTCTATCTCTAGATTCGCCTAACGTGACAAGGTAACACTACGACTATTGAAGTTATATTTTAATATAGCGGATGTGGTCGTGTGGTCTAGAGCGCTGGACATGAGGCTAAGCGATTGGTGCTGTAGTGTATCAAAGGTGTGAGTTCGAATCCCGTTGAGGGACAAAAATTTGTCAGCATAAAAGTCTAATTCTTACACTGTTGGGTGTAATTTTCAAACTTATATATATATATATATATATATATATATATATGATGAGGTTTTTTTTCTTTTATTTTCTCTGAGCCTTAAAAACTTGATTTATACTGGTTTATGAGAATGAACAAAAAGTTAATATCTTAAGTTGGGTAGCGTCCGACATTACATTATGCATTCAAATTAATTTAAAAATGAGTCCATTAGTCATGAAAACTGTAGTCAAATTGCAAAAGCTTTCACTGATCCGGAACGATTCTAAATATTCGGAGACCGTAAATATATTTGAAAGTTAAGTACATCGGAAAAATCGAGAAGTGTCAGTAAATTGGAATTTACTTATTGGTTTGATTATTGAAATTGTGTTAACTCTTCTTCCATTATCTTAAGTTCCAATTCCAACGTGTCACACATTTGTTTCAGTTTTCCACAGGCGAGACTTGTATTTCCACTGTTCATGTCTACTGATGTTTGGATAATGTTGTAAATATCTAAACCCATTGTTGCGATGGCAAAAGGTAAAGTTATCTTCAAAGTGGATTTGCTGACAGCTAAAACTTTTTCAGTACCAACTAATGCCCTGAAGCTTGTTTTTCCGGTCGCTACTTGTATTCCCGTTTCAATTCCCTTTCTTGCGCGTACTACTTCCGTTGAAACATCAACGACGGTTGCACTTTCTGTAAAAAGTTCTGTTGCTTCAGTAATCTGTGTGACTATGTTTGCACTTTCAACCACTTCAGAAACAGCGGTTGTATTCGTAACAACTGCTTTACTGGGTCCCAAAAATCCTTTGCAAGCATTTAAGATTACAGGGACATGTATACCTTTTTTCATATTAGTAGCCCATTGTTTTATTTGTTCTGCAGATCCATTCTCTGTCATAAAGTCTTCGATTGCTTTTTGATGTTTATCCATCGCGATCTTGTCTTTTTTCAAAGCACATTCTGCAAGTTTCAGCAGGTCACTTTCTTTCAACATATTAGCAATCGATGCCCCACAAGCAGTCACTGACCCAAGAAAAGATAGTGTGCCTCCGGGTAGTGCACACCATACCAATGACATACCTGAAGTCAAAGGAGCAAGAAATAACCCTGCAACTAGTGCACCTGTTCCAACTAAAGACCCCGAGTTCCCAACTAGTTTGGCGATATTGGTGTCTTTAGCGACAGTAGTTATCTTTAATATCAATTCCGATAATACTGAAATAGTATATCGCCGCTGCTGCAACGTTTCTACTAAGCTTTTCCTTAGACCCTCTTCCCTGTTCACAGCTGCATGATAAGGTAAATCTTCTGAAGAAAAAAATACAAACTTAAACTTTAAAAATAATGTGTTGTATCCAGTGAGATCTTTTAGCATAGATAAATATCAAAATTTATCAAAAAGATATATGAAACTTATAATAACCACAAGAGGAATATAGTTTCCAATTTTAATCCACTAATAAGGAAGCTATTTGAAGAATTTCGGTCAAAATTAAATAAAAGTTTCATATATATTTTACTGAGAAACTGGCGTATTACATTTATATTATTTGAAAACGGTATTAAACCTGCGCGCATAATCATTGCATTTGCGCGCAAAATCATTACGTTTGCGCACATATTTTCTTTAGAGTTGCGCGCATTCTTTAAGAGGTAAACTCAGGTAAATAAGAAAAAATTATACTTATTTATTAATTCTACTATTACTTTCGAGTAGTACAAATCCGTTTTATAAAGCACACGCACTTAATCCTGGAACAATATACAGATAAAAATACAGAAAATAGAAAATCTAAAGATTAAAAGTACTAATTTTACACGTCATAACATGCTCAAAAATATACGTAGTACACTTGGATTATCTTGGATGCTCAAAGACTTAGAGGAAAATGGGAATCCGGTGAATTACATTAGCAATTATTAACGATGCATTTCTACGAAATATCCCCTGTCTTATGTGTTTTGTCTACACGAAAGTAAATCCATCGTACACAAATCTCCCCCCCCCCCCAAACCACCACCAAACACCCCCATTTTTTTTCTTACAAATGAAACTCCATATGTGTGTCTTAGTGTAATTTCACAACTAAATAGTTTATTCATTAAATTGGCATTCGGTGAAATAATGAAACAGAATGCTTATTACTCTGAAATATTCGCAAATGCAAGCAAAGACCACGCTCAAACGTAAACAGAATTTAATCCCCAAATGCGCGCAAATCTAATGCGTCCCCAGAAACTATACAAAATTCTTTATTATATGTCTTGTTTATCCGAATTTTCTGAATTTTCGTTTTTTCGGATGAACTTTAAAAAAATAGGTGAACATATTGCCATGACCTCGGTTAATTTTCTAAATATTACAGGTATACAACTATAATACATGTAAAAACTGCAAATATATTGTAAATTTTGTTAAGGTGTATCAAAATCATAACCCCAAATGTCCTTTAGTGTAACAGTTAATAAAAGCACAAATGTCCTGCGTCTGTCTGGTCACGCGTTGTCTTTAACGATCGTTGCCCGATTTTTTATGATTTCAATTATACAGAAAAATCAACAAATTTTAGTGTTTTTAAATACAAAATGAACAGTTTCAATGAAAAAAACACACGTTTATTTTACTCTATTATCTGTCACACCAAATATTCAGTTTCAAATCATTATATATTTGAAAGTAGTCATTATAGGTACAAAACGTGTTCTATTTTTAATGAATCCCATAGACTTGTGTTGCGCCTTTTGTGTTTTCTCATAAAGTACTGCATATTTTATTTATCATATTGTACAGTATTAATGAGAATGTTGAATCATTTTGACACACATAATTTTTACGTGTTTGTTCCGAGGTTTTGAAAATACAACACAGATTTTTCACAGATTTTGAAGTAGAATTTCAATTAATTACATTCACGATCCGATACCAGATCTATCACGATCCGATCGCTATGTATGACCACCGATATGTATTTTTTAGCGATCATTTCTCTCGATATACTGATTGACAGTCGTGCAATCGAAGAAACAGACTCCAAAAAGTCTTGTTGATACCAAAAAAAAAAACCTAGAACAAATATATTACTTATTGAATTGCAAGGAACTAATTTATAATTTACCTAGATTATAGGAATCGGGATTCCCAATTGGACGTTAAATCCATGATATTCATAGACTAGCAGAGATATTTTATATCTTTAGCTTGATGGGAGAATGAGAGTTATCCTTTTTATATAAATTGACGTCTTTTTAGGGTAATTGAATTTATTTGAAGTCACTTCCACATTTAAAGGACTTCGACATTATCAAAAGTCTTGAAATTTCTGCTGCAAATTATAATTTTAAGATTGATATTACAAATTGGACAAACTGACTTGACAAAAATAGTCAATGCTGTTTTTGGACAGTAAAACCTCACAGGACCCGTTAAGATGGTACATTGAAACATCAGACTTACATTCTGATAGCATAAAGACAGTATACAATCATCAAATACAAAAAAAAAGGTTTGGTAAACAGTTACTTTATATTCATGACCATTCCAATGATAACTCATATCAACACAGAAATGCTAACCACTGGGTATCTGGAAGGACACCTTGACCAGCAGTGGTATCGATCCATTAAATGTGAATAAAATCATCATAGATACAACACGTACAAGGCTTAACAGTTTGTACTTCTTACGCACGTTTCGTCTACAAAAGACTAATAAGCGAAATAAAATATGAATGATAAAAGTTTAAAAAGCAAAACAAATTACGACCGACGTTGGAGAGTATTGATAATTGTAAATACCGAAAAGTCTTGCGATGTAGATAAGTGAATCTATTACTTAGGGTAGAATTGCTAGGGACGCTTGACTGAAACAAGTTAAAAAGGCCAAAAAAAGTAAGAGGTTTAAAAGCGTTGATGACCAAAATTTCGAAAGGTTTTGCTATTTACTACTAGGTAAATTTATACATGGGGTAGAAATTCCCTTAGTATCTCAAAAATTCAAAGTTTTATAAATAGTTGATTTAATAAAAAGTCATGTCAAGACTGTAGTGCTGACTTTTGGACTGGTGGTACCCTAGAGATTTGAAAACTTGGTTGACTACCTCCACCAGCAGTGGCATTGACCAAGTGGTTGTAAATAAACTCATCATAGATACCAGGTATTAAATTGTGTATGTCAGCCGCGAGGCTTAGGTGAGATAGAATATAGGCAAGAAATAAGAGCCTATTAACCCATTGAAGAAATAACGTACAATGTCACCCTACTGTAGCATGTTATTGTCACTTTAGGCTGACTATTCATTTGTCTTACTCTAATATGTCGCTTGCAATGACGGAATGACGCAAATGTATACCTATCTTCAAGGTACATATCTTTGCAAATTGATCTGGTCGGAAAATTTACCCAATGACACTCCCTACTCGTCACGAGAATTATACCAGCGGACCATCGATGCTATAGGGATTATAAAATTCTAATTATAAATATGAATCATAAAACAAATTCAGAATACCTTAAAATAATTGGTGAAGGATTTAAAAAATTAACGAATGACGGAAGTAAATATTTTACAGAACGTTTTGTACGTACGGGTATTAATCTCTATTTTCAGATTGCGAACACAACATTCATAGTCTGTTATCGCCTACTTGAAAAAAGGAAAATAATGTTGAGTGAAGACAAGAGATTTCCTTCGTTATAAGTTACCTACGTCGTTTTCATTAGCGTTTCTGAAACTTAAGAGGATATCTCACTTTCCGTTCACGGGAATCAAGATTAAACATATTCATTCCGACCTGAGATATCCGCACATTTATGAATCCCAAAGAGCAAAACGAACTCCAATCTTTAGGCATATATTTTTGTCTGCTGAAGCTATCCTAATAATAGAATAAGAAGATGTGGTGATGTGCCAATGAGACAACTCTCCACAAGAAACCAAACGACGTAGAATTAAACAACTGTACAGACACACAATAGGTGACAGTACGGTTTTTAACTATGAGGAAACATAGACCACAGAGCAAGCTACGGAATCTCCCGAAACGACAAAACTAACGGTCTGATTATTATACAAAGCAATAACTGAAAATAAATGTGATATACAACAACCGTTGACTACCACTAAACAAGAAGCTCCTGACTTAGGACGGGCAAATAAATAGTGTGGCTGGTTAAGCATGTTTGCATGCACCAAACCCTCCTTCTATCTAGAGACAGTGGTATAACAAGATCGGTGACATATAACAAACTATAAAAAAATCAAGATCTGAACAAAGCACAAAAACAACTTACAAAAGCACTAAGACACAACGTACAAAATTGTTCGCTGTTACTGAAAGCTAGTTCAAAGCCAATTGAAACATAATGTGTCAAAGACTAAATTATCATGCAATACAAAATCAAATTTACAATGGATTGGGTGTAAAGGGTGCTTTAACAGTCAAAACAAAACATGATCTTGGGCAATGCCAACATATATAGGTGTATATCAATAATGTTTAGTCTTAATTAGTGATAACAAAGTAAATATTTATATCGATAAAAACAATATTCAATAGAAGAATCTACTAACAAAATTGGTCAGTTTACCAGTATGGTATCTAAATATACGGGTTCGATAAACCACATCACCATGGAAATTTGGATCAGAATTCCTGTTCTGAATACGTTTTCTTAATTTCCAAATCAAATCTTTGAATCTCTGTTGGAATTTATTTGAGATGTGGTAACGAAAACTTCTGACTTCATAATTTACTTGTAATACATAGATTACGTTCATTGAAATAATAGAACGTCACTACAGACACGGGCATAACATCTGAGATAGGATACATTAACACGGTCAAATGTGGTCAAAGTACCATCCCCAAATAATAAAGAAAAATACCAATAGGGTGCGAAAAAGGTCCCTTTTCTTCTCAATTTAAGTGTAGAGTTTTCAATATCTATTCTAGGGAAGGACAGTTTATACTGTTTACACTTGCTTTATAAAAAATAGGTCTTTTTGATAAAATTCGACAGTACACATACATTTCCTTCTCCTTTTATACAGTATATACATCACACTTCTTACAGCTGTACATAAAGAACACGAAATTTTATCGAGCACCTATTTTATAGTTTTATTGTTGATATTCACATCAAAAAAAGTTTTAGAATAGATTTATTGATATACAAGAAATGTCTTGGTGTTTCTATACGATAGGTTATACAGACAGAAGAAGAAGTATACTTAACAACAAAATTATTTTATTTTACCTGTGTAAAATTTGATAATGCAAATGGCGTAATTTTTTTTCAAAGTTGATGTTTTTTCTGGGGTTTAGCATTTCACAGCGGTATAATACTTTTACTTTAATTATTCATCCCTTATTTTTATTAACTTTGTATTGCACTGTACCATAGATCAAATTTATTCGTTCAGTGTATATTCATTTGTGTTACTACGTCTTTTGATTGACTTAAGCCATTCCTATTGATATTTTATAGGGAGTCTTTCTATGTTGTGATGTTACACAATTGTTTCAGATAAGGGTAAAGGTTTGGTACCTTGAAAACGTTTAAACCCGCTGCAATTGTTTGCACCTGTCCTTATTCAGGAATCTGATGTTCAGTAGTTGTCGTTTGTTGATGTGGTTCATACGTGTTTCTCGTTTCTGATTTTTTTTTATATAGATTAGATCGTTGGTTTTCCCGTTTGAATGGTTTTACACTAGTTATTTCTTGGGGCCCTTTATAGCTTGCTGTTCGGTGTGAGCCAAGACTCCGTGTTGAAGACCGTACCTTGACCTATAATGGTTTACTTTTATAAATTGTGACTTGGATGGAGAGTTGTCTCATTGGCACTCATACCACATCTTCCTATATCTCTCATCATAGATACAAGGATTTGAATTTTGTATTTACGCCAGACGCGCTTTTCGTCTTCAAAAGACTCAGCATTGGCGCTCGAATAAAAAAAGGTAAAAAGGAGAAGTTGGAGAGCATTTAGGACCAAAATTTCCCAAAAGTTTTGACAAATACAGCTAAGATTCTTGAGGCAGAAAAGCCTTAGTATTTCAAAAAATGATGTAATTTATAGCTGTGAAATACTAAACAATTTCCGAAAAACATCAACTTTGAAAAAAAATACGCCATTTGTAATATCAAAATTATACACAGGTATATGAATATAATTTTGTTGGTAAGTATACTTCTTCTTCTGTCTGTAGGGGCCTCGGTGCACTCGACTCCAATCTTAATTGACTAGGATTGTCAGTTTTCCTATCGAAGGTCGGTGGTTTTCTCCGGGCACTCCGGCTTCCTCCACCAATAAAAACTGGCCGCCACAAAATAGCTCAAAAGGGGTGCTTTAAAGTGGCGTTAAAACACCAAAAATCAAATCAAATCAAATCTTCTGTCTGTATAACCTTCCGTTTAGGAACACCAAAATATTTCGTGTATATCAATTAAACTATTCTAAGACTTGGTACATGTGGGGTGAATATCAACAATTAAACTATAAAATTGGTGCTCGATAAAACTTGTGTGATGTATATACAGTATAAATGGAGAAGAAAATAATTGTTATGTTCATAAGTACGAAGAAGTGAAAATTTATAGTAATTCCAAACACATCAAAGCTGGTATATAGACCAGATATAAGTTAACATTAAATAACAAAAAAACATTACAAATAGTATCAACAGGTATTTATAAACTTTTTGGCATAGCATTATGCAATCAAATGGCAGTTGAAAAATGCATAGGATAACAATAATGTTTGAAAACATTTTGTAGAAAGTGTAACATTTAAGGCAACACAGCTTACCTGTGAAAATACATGTTTAACTTTTGATTATATAAAGTTAACCTGCGGTGTTTTCTCTTTTCAGCAACGAATAAAAAGATAAGAAAAAAATCGTAGCGGGTTTCTCCAAGCATATGTGTAATCAATAAGTTGTTCCCGTTCATAAAATGTAACAATGGTCACTCTAAAAGTATTGTCACTATTTGAGCTATTATACTACAATTTGCCACAAAAGTTCGAACAAGGGGCGGACGTAAATTATATCATGTCAATTTTACATTACAATGACATTCAGAAGTAGAAAACTGTCATCAAGGTATTAATGTAAGGCTAGGAAGAGTTAATACCTTTTAATTAGCTTGACATTATTGTAAATATATTATACACATGTTGATTTTTCAACAGTTTATGATGTCAAAGTTGTTTCAAGAATGTTTTAATTGTGATAATTTAGTTTGTATTCGGTGTAACCAATTGGAATTAGTGATCATAAAGTCTAGATAATCATACGCTATGGATCTCTCTTACATTCTATTGACAGTCGACTATGAATATGATAACCATGTCATCATGTTTATTTTATTAAACAAAACGAATCACATACCTTCATCATCTATTGGATGGGCATCTTGTCTACGTTGAAGTGTTCTTAGGGCCATTTCAAACCTAGCTGAATCGCAAAGCTACAGGTTTCGATATGATCTGTAATATGCAAATTAATATATTAAAGCTCTACAAATTGACGAATGAATCATTCCCTTTACTAATATTTTTGCCGTTAGTATTTTTTATTTCGCCGGCTAGTGTTTCTTTCTATGACAAACAAATCCATGAATGCCCGTTCTTTTCGTTGCAACAACCTTACAACAATGCGTAATATATTGATAACTAAACGAACGAAAACCTATACTAATGATTTAATTTAATTTTGTAGTTTTAGCATTATACATGTAATGCGGCGGAATGGATTCTTTCGTATTTTGTATGAATGCGCGCACATGTTCATCATAAAAAGTTCATAAACATGTGGCTTCAGTTAAATATTCTACAACCAAAACGAAAACGTAATTATCATGTTAATGTGAATAACTATAAAACACTTTATGTTGACTATATATATTCTGAAAAAGTTGTTATCACAGAGAAGAGGTAAATTCAAATGTTAGCATATTTCTCATAATATTAATTTCTGAAACACTCGAAAAAAAGTAGTCGTCTTTATGTTTATACATATCATAAATGCAATGATTTTATATTGAGCAGCAATTTAATTTGAAAAAAAAATACAGTTAAATTTTGACAAATAAAATTTGTTTAGTATATAAAATGGCCGTCGCTTAATGTATTTAAGCCTTTGATTTTGTAATTTGATAAGGGACTTTCCGTGTTGAATTTTTTCTTTGAGTTCGGTATTTTTTATGATTAACTTTATACTAGATAAACGTTAACTTTAGTAAAAGAAAACACAAACATGTAGAGGGAGTTAACTGTGACATATTGACTATCATGCGTTTTTTGTTTTATCTCAATAAAATCAGACTTGAGTTACAGCTGATATTCTAAAATGCATTTGATTTTATTATTTTCTTAATCTTAAATTGATACATTGTTGACATTGTTAAACTTTCACTAAATAGTTAAAAGTTTTGAAATTATGTTGAATGCATCTATCTAATCGAACTTGAAAAAAGTATGCAACAGATACAGTTAAGTATGCCTCACATCTTAACTTAAATCTAGTCTAAAACTTAACAATAAGGCTCGGTTGAGAGTTCCTTATGAAGATAAACCAAGAAAAACGCTTCTGACGCATAAATTTTATAAAGCGTTATTTTCATTTTAATTGTTTTAGATACCTCGGAAATCTTTTTTGGATTTACCAATGTTTGATATAACATTTTTGGTTATTAGACCACTATTTGATATAATGTATCTTTCGTCATTCATGGGTAAATAAATAAATTTTGAAACTGTTTTATTTCTAATTCAGCAGGACGATTAGTAAGTTAATGTGACTAAACATCATTTAAACATCATGAAACTGAATCAAAATGTACAAACATTCATTGAATATTTACATTTCAATAGCAACAAAATTTTGACCGATAAATCTTCCTCAGGTTTATAGTTTCAATGTGTTGTATGCAAACTGTATAGTATGCTATTAACGGTTATCACACTGCAGCTGCAATACACACAACAGATCCGATAAATGTCTAACAATATAAATGGAAGATACTTTTAGACTACATTTTATTTCTATATTTTGGTACGACCAGTGAATGTATGCAGTAATTCAAACGTGGTGTCTTACAATTCATTCTGACAATTATGTGGAATTAAAAAAAAAAAAAAAAAAACATAATATCAAATGAATGGGGAATGTGTCCATGGGACACAGATGATGCCCCCGCTTACATATATAAAGTTTATCAAAGTGCACGTAAGCACAGAAGGGTAAAAAGTGCTTTAATTTATCAGTGGAAGGCAAAATTAAACTATAATCATGAACAAAGGGAGATAACTCCAATTTTAAAAATTACTTAAACAATGACATCATTGATATTTTTTTTTTTCCATTTGTAAAGGGGCATAGCTCTAGAACAGTAAATGTGTCGCCACCAAATTTCAAACTTGACCTGTGTATTGTGGTTAATAAGCTTTGTATATAAGTTTCATAACATTTGGTTGAGGCAACCTTAAGTTAGAGAACGGAAACTAATTTTGGGACGTACGAGCTATATTATGTTATTTAGAATACTTTCAAATTCATACCTTGCAAACATGTTTACCGTTATTTCCTCTAATGGGTTCAGTGTTTGAATCGCATTTTCTGAAGAATCATGGCGTTATCAGTTTATTTTTTATCTATGAGTTTGAAAGTACCTCTGCATGTTATCTTTCAACCCTCTTTTAATCACTGTGGTTTTATAATTTGAAGTTATATTCCTTGTCTTTGAGTAATAGATAATTCCCCCTTTTCGTAACCATTAATTATAGAGCAAAATACAAATTGTCCTATATATATCTAGAAAAACTTGAAAAAATTCATTTGTGAAACCATCTGACCCAGGGCTCTTTTCATTTTTCATTTTTCGCAAAGCTGTTGTTAATTCACTATAAGTAAATTTCACCCTCCAAAGATTATTTTATGGTAATATTTAGTTTTTTAATATCAGTATACGGAATTTCACAATTAAGGTTAACATTATTCAAGCTTTCTGTTTTGGTATATAGTCTTTTGTAATAATCGTTTGTCTCCTTTAATATTTTATCTTGCTCACTGACAGTGTCCCCTTTTTCATTGACTAATTTTGGAATGGTTTTATTTATAAAATATTTAGTTTCTAAATTCAGAAAAAAGCTTGAAGGTTTTTCTCCTTCTATCCATTGCATTTTGGATTGATGTAGGACCCCCTAATTTTTCTTACCTGAATACTTTTAGATCAGTTTTCTTTTTTTCAATTCTAGTAAAGATTTCTTCTGTCAAGATTTGTTCTTCTAGTTTTTTAATATCTTCTGACAGTATTCTTTCTTTTTTATCTTTTTGTTTTTTCCTAAAGCCCTGTCACACTAGACCACGATCGCACCACGCTCACCGCGATCTAAAATGAATTCAGATCGTGGTGAGGTCGCGGTATGAGCGGCATGAAAATGTAAATGTTCGTTGCTTTCACGATGCTACTACGTCCTCATTACGCTTCCACAACGATCCCGCTACGATTATACCACGTTCTCATCACGCTTATTCGGCGACCTCACTACGATTATCACGATCGTTCTACGCTCATCACGTTCTAACTACGACCATACCATGATTTATCCGATTGCAACACGATCTTACCACGCTTCTACTCCGATTATAGTACGCTCGTCCCACGACCATACTACGATCATACCACGTTCATACCGCGATCTTATTACGCTCTCAGCAATAATGTCAACATCGTGTTCCATATAAATACTGTTTCGTTCCTTCTATTTCTCATTAATACGTAGATTTTTCGGAAACAACACAGTCATGCCAACAAAATCTACCAGAACTCGTGGGCGTGGTGGAAGGGGTAGAGGTAGAGGCAGAGGGGCCTCTGATACCAATCCTGATCCAGTAGAGATGTTGGACCGACCAATCCAAACTAAATCACAACCTATTGTTGGTCCATCAAAAATAAATGAAGATGTTTTAATGGACGAAAGTTGAAATGACACAGCTGTGTCAAGCATGGTTGAGCCGTTGGAGAAAAGGGACAAGAGGTCCAAATTACATACAGATCTAATATTAGAGGAAGAGCAAAACATGGTATAATGGATGGAGGCGCATCCTAATATATACAATAAGAAGATGACTACGCACAAGGATACCGGCAAGAAAGAAAGGACGTGGCTAGAAAAAGCAGAAGAACTCGGCAAATTCGTCTTGGTGCTGAAAACTTGGTATTCCAGTATGAGAACTAGATACGGACGCTTGAAAAAAAAAATTCGGCGATGGTGACAAAGAATTTTACAAAGACAGATGAAAGGGTGATAAGGAACTTCGATTTCCTCCATCCTCATGTTCATGAGGAACAAAAGAAGAAATTAATGAGTGTAAATATAGTAATGATACTGTAAATACTTTATTGATTTGAATCGATTTTTGAAGTGTAACTCGAAAGAAAAAACAAAATGAAAAAAAATAGAAAGAAGAAAAGATATAAGAAGATGTGGTATGAGTGCTAACGAGACAACTCTCCATCCAAGTCACAATTTTTAAAAGTAAACCATAAAAGGTCAAAGAACGGTCTTCAACACGGAGCATTGGCTCATACCGAACAGAAAGCTATAAAGGGATGCATTTTAAAGCCTTTCTGTCTGTCCGTCCGTCTGCTTGTATGTCTATGCGAAATGTGTTATCCATAAATGATATCAAAAACAATTTGAAGATTGTTATGAAACTTGTTGAGATGTTAGATAATTAATTGAAGATGTGGTATTTGGGGTATCAAATTGACGGATGTATGCACTTTTTTTATATATCATGGAGGATATGTTGTGTAAAGAACATTTCTTTTGGTTACGTGTTTTAACAATGTATTTTTAGTAACTATTTTTTTATTCATATATTTTTTTACTACTTATTTATTCAAATTTTGTTTTACTATTTTTGTATTCATATTTTGTTTTTACTTTTTTTGTATTCATATCTTTTTTTAGTTATTCATATTTTTAAGCTTTATTACAATATTTCTTGAATACAATAAAAAAATCATTATGACAAACACAATGAAGGATAAAACATATAAACATTTATTGTGATGTTACCATGCGTTCCTGCCATGGTACATTGTGGTACAGATCCAGCGAGGCTATTGAAATATAATTTTAAGTATTCTCTCTGTTTCTTTGCTGCAACCGTGTCCCTATTATGGCCTACTACACTGTTGACATCAAGTATGTTTGCATTAGCTCGCTAAAGACCCGGTACAAGATTGTGAAGGCCGTCTTCCATGTCAAGTTGGACATTTTGCAGGTTTGAATATCGCATCCTTATTAAATTGTTCAAACATATACAAGTCTCGAGCACTATTATGACACTCACGGTGTCTGGTACTTGCACCATAGTGGAAAGAAATATTTGTCATCTCTGTTCCTAAATTCCGAATGCATTTTCCACTACTCGTTTCCCCCTTAAAATTCTGTAATTTGGTATTGATTGTTCTTTT